ATATATATATATATATATAAAATGATGAAGTGTTAATATACTACATAGAATTCATAATATAAGCCGTTTTGTTAGTATTTGAGAGGACATAAATCTGCACAAGTTTTTGAATACAAAAAAAGTGTTTATTTTTTCCATTATTTCATGTTTTTATTAAATCTGTATTGCAATATTTCATAAAGGCATTTTTTCTCAGTTGAACTTGTATTTGGAAGATTTATATGATAATATACATTGTTATTAAATCGAATGCTGAGAAGTCAAACTACACTTGCGTATCTTAGTATTAGTATTTTTAAGCGCTGACTTCAACATTGTCCAGGAGATGGCGACAAAACTCTGCAGATGATTTGGACAAAAGAGTTCATGAATCGGTTCTACTAATTGTTGAACATGGAAGACTAGAGTCTGTTCCACAAAACAGCCATTTAGTTTGCTTTAAAATGAGATACAACTATAAAGTAAGAAGTCAACAAACCCTTTGTGTTATTCAAACTGTATAGAAGACAAACCTGAACTACGAATTCCAACAGAGAGCAGTAGCCTATTGTCCCACAGTTTGGTTGCCCCTTCACATTTGCTGATGAACCTTTTGAGGTAGCCTAGGCCTTCTTACAGTTTCACCTGAGGCGATTTTGACCGTTTCATTATCAAGTCAGCAAGTGCATCGTTTGTTTTGAAATAAGTAATCGAACTCATACTTTATGAACAGAATTGTTTGTTTAACCAGCTAAACAAAACGCCACGCTCTGACAGATAATGCTCAGAAAAAAACTATAGCCCATCTTGGCACATAGCCTATGGTGTGAAGCAATGTCGATTCGTTAGTTTTCAAAGAAAGTTGAAATTCTTAACCAACGAGTCTTTGCTGACAAGCCAAAAACTTTATTTGACGCTCTGCAGGTAGGCTAGTCATGCAAAGTCAACAACTCATTTCTGCACATCGGTTCTTTCGAACAGTTTGTTGCAAAGAACCACTTAAAAACTGCTCAGATTTTCTTTTATTTAATGGCGTAAGTCACCACGTGACACCTTTGACATCTTCCAACAAACGCCCTAAGCCTAGAAGTTACTGCTGTTAGGGCCTACTTTGTTTTTCTTTGTTGTAGCCTATGTGTCCCAGATTTGTTCCCAGTCATGACTAAAGAACCAAGTGATTTTTTTGTTTTCACAAATAATGTATATACTAAATTAAATTAGCATTTTTTTTTTTTTATCAACTTAGTTTCAAGTACCTGTTGAGTTTTGGTTGCTGTTAAAAACAAAACATAAAAAATAAAACATGTACAGCTAATTTTCAGTAGGTTTTATTTTTCTGATATTCTTCAGCTGAGCCCTCAAGTGCTTTAATAATTAATATCAGTTCACTCTGTTCTCATTACATGTCGATTCTCGGTTCAGTGAGTTGTTGACTCGAGAACCTCTTTGACCGATTAAATACAATGAATGAAGGAATCGCTTGGATCGGTTTGTTAAACCGGTTCACCCGATTTATTGAAAATATTCTACTTCGAAAATATTCGAAGACCCATTTGTTCACGAATCACTCAGGCATCGTTTTTTTCTCAAATCAGACACTCACGACGTTATGTCGGGTAAGTATGCTGTTTAGGATGCAGTAGACAGCGAGTTAGCTCACTAGCTTTGGAGACACAGCCTCAGCAGCGCACTGACAGGTGTAAGATTCTCGGGGCTCGTCCGTGCGGGACAAATTAAATTAATGGAACAAATTTCCCCCGTAATTAAGATAAAAATTCGTGTCAGCTATAACCTTGCCTAGCACTAATTATGTACAAATGATTTATCATCTGTTTCGGTCGGAATATTAATCTTCAACTCGTTGCAAAGCGCAGCTTGTGTTAAGAGATTATGCTTGATTAACACTGACAGGTCTAGTAACTGCTCTCTCCCTCGCGTCAAGTAACAGATAGTGGATGCGCAGGCAAGCAGAACCCTATTCTGAATCTGCAGTGACTAAAATACCAGAGCTTTCAAACACAGCTGCAATACGAAATCCTTGTTATGGACTTTGTTTCAGACTAGACGCCATATTTAATTTTTCGCAAATGAAAATGAGGTGGTGAGGGAAAAGGCCGTTCAATAGCCTACTTTCGTGTAGGATGTCTATCATTCAGCTGACATTCGGGAAAATTTTAAATTCTTCATCTTATATAAAAATAATTTGGTGACAAAATATTCTGGAAAACGTGTTGTGAAAATTACGGTACAACATAGGCTATTGAACGGACTGCACGTCTGTCTCGTTTTTATTCTTGAAAATTAAATCTGGCGTCTACTCTGAACCTTACATTGTCGACGTAATGAATTTCAAACGGCCTATTTGTTGAAACACTCGCTTCTTACTCTGACATGTATATGGATGTTATGTTCTCTAAACTATTTAAATCTTTGTATTGGATAAAATACAGTAGCCTGTGCATAGTTCATCTCTTCTCCATTGTGTTTACCCAGGGCCGGATTTACGCATAGGCATTCTAGGGACGTGCCTATGCTTGCTCGTCCAGGGGGGGCCCAAACACAATGAAGAGGTATATTTTTGTTATACTATGGGATATCTACAACAGTAAAAGAACCAAAACCCCACAAGACATTGAGCAAATAAATATAACAAACAATAGGGTAAAAATGACAAACTTGACAAAAACTACAAAAGAGTGTCGCAGCTGAAAAGCTACATGACATTTCTCAGTATGGTTCTTGAAGCAGTTCAACTTAAAGATTCGCTATTAGTAGACGCTGCTGCTGAATACTGCTGAGACGCACAGACGCAAGTATTCACACGCACTTAATCTCTCCCTCTATCTTTCTCTCTCTCTCTCTCTCTCTCTCTCTAATAACTGCGTTAGACTGCATTAATAACTGCATTAGCCTGCATATCAATGGCTCAAGCCTCTGTTATTAGCTCTAAAATGAAGTTTTGGAATTTGCAATGGAAGGTTTGGGATGTGCGTAAAAAATTAGCTTGTTCAACACACATGAGATTTCAGGACTGAAACATGTCAAATGTCTTGAAACAAACCATCTGAACAATTGATGTGTGATTGCGTTAAATTATTAGAGAAATAATGCACTCCGGAAGTGGTTATGTGGCCACGTCGCCGCGCCTATTAATGGAATGAAATGCAATTTGTTTGAATTCTCAAACAAATTAAGAACCTACATTCGATTTTTATTGACTGAACGCAAGCGCTTATTGCGATAGAAAACACTGTAACGGTTCCCACTGATTAAGAAATATTTTTGTTTGCTTGGGTGGTAATATTAGGCCTATTATATTAATAGGGAAGGGGGGCCCAAAAAATGTTTTGCCTATGTCACGAAAAGAGGTAAATCCGGCATTGTGTTTACCCATTAATCCTGATATATTAATATCAGTCACATCAGTGCACGTTTTTCTTACAATGGCTGTATGTTTTTTTTTTCTGAAGGCAATTTGCTAGGTTAAGAAATACACCGTGCTACCATGTCTATCATCACACCGGTGCTGATACAGAGTGACAGGACATTATAAGCTGCTTTATAGCAATGTATGAGCTTGCAAACTGTATCGTCCATCATGTGAAATGAGCAGAAAGCGCTGCGAGGAACAACAAAGCCAGGACATAGTCAACATTAGCTCATTAGTTTATCACTGGGCCGCAGACAACACATGTAAACCCGGTAATCTTGAACGCACCTATGTGTTGTGTCAACTCTCAAACATTTTATTCTTTCTGGCAACATTGGTCCATTATGGCTAAAATGGCTTATATTTCCACTAAATTAGTGGAAACACAATGAAGAGATATATAATATTTTTGTTATACTATGGGATATCTACAACAGTAAAAGAACCACTAAATTAGTGGAAATATGGACTTATGTTTCTGATGTCTTGAAGGCAGTGCACACAGTCTTTTTTTTCATGTGTGTTGAAGGAAAGGTTTAGGTTTAGTTTCCATACCCATAAGAGATCTTAATGTGGTGATCAAGCAGGACCAAGTTCTTATAATGGTGGATCAGTCCGAGGTAGAGAGGGAGATTTATTCAGGGGCACTGACATTCAGTCTATATTGTGCTGATAACAGTGAAGACCCTGGAAACTGCACACAGCAGCAGATGATGAATGGAGCGTCTGACCGTAATCACTTATCGTTTCAGCCTCTTCTTCTCCTCCTCTGTGACAGGAGTACCATCTCCTTTTTGCCTCTTCTTGCCTAAATATTCACTGTCTCTTTAAGATCTCCTTATCTTGGCAGCAATGAATCTC